AGTACAAAGGGATTCTTCATCTTCTTTAGGATGCTTTATTTGGAAGCTGAAAGGAGATCTTTTCCTTTGCTCTTAGGGTCTTTTCGGAGGGGGCTTTTTTTTTCTGGGAAACTGAAAAAAACCATGTGACTTTTGCCTCATGTTGTGCTTTTCCCCACACCGCAGGGTGGATAGAAGGAGTAAAACTCTCAGACCGGGAGAGAGGCTGGTTCCCCTCGGAACATGTAGAAAACATCTCCAGTAAACACGTGCGGCAGAAGAACCTGAAGGAGGAGCAACGGGTGAAGAATGCCAAGCAGCAGGTCTTCTGCAAGAAATAAGACTCTGTTTGGACTTGTACAGTCTCCCTGCCATGGAGAAACCATGGCTTTTCTATCGTGCCTCAGAAGAATTGCCTCTGCGAAGAGCATAATACACAGCACTTTGACAGGACTGGGTGCTTTTTGCCAAAGAAAAGCGGGAATTCAATCAGGAAAAACTTCCTCTGTGTCAGCAGGACTATGGCAGCAAGAGGAGGAATAAAGGTTGCATGTATTGCTTGCTTTGTGATAGTAGGGAGGGACTTAAATCGGACAGAGGTCTGGGGTCTGGACTTCTGAAAACATATTCCTGGTTTTGCCACTGACAAGTTGCGGGACCTTATGCAAGTCACTTCAGAGTTCTGCCTCAGTTTTGCCATCTGCAAAATGGGGGTAAACTTACCTACCTCACTGCATGTTGTGAGGCTAAATTCACTAGTATTAGCAGCCTGAGAGCTTCGAATTCCTGAGAAGGAAGGTGCTAAGTGCAAAGCACAACAGAGCTGAGAAAGAATATTCCGTTTGAACATCCTCTGGATACCTTCATGGCGTTGATCTCCATAGTGTAATTTCCATTTACGGCAATTTATGTATTAGATCATGCAAGTCTACTGGGGTTTAGATTGGCAAATATTTCATTGTACTGAAATGCTGTTAAGAGTCCTTGACAGCATTACAAAATTCACTGGAATTAAGCAGAGTTTTCAGAAGCCACTGTGATGACTTCCCCCACATAAGGGTTATCATGCTGAGGAATCTGCTACACAAAGGTCACCTCTCTTCTGAAGAAGTGTCCCACTAAGCCATCTGAACTGACTTTTTTTAAAGTCTGCCTCCCGCAGAAGTAGATCAGTGACTTTTGACAAAGATTTATATTTTGTGTTGGTACACACCCTGTACAAAATAACCAGGACTAGGCACATGTAATGAAGTGGCACTTTACTGCTGCTCTTACTCTGATTGCTGATGTGGTATTGCATGCACCATTTTGCACACTTACGGAGAACACTGAGATATTTAGCCATTGTAGATAAAGTCAAAATATGCACCAGGGTCTTTGTTCACTTTCTAAGAACTTTCTGGTTTTAAGTCCAGTTTACATGCATTTGTGCAGAACTTGTCTGTTTGAGCATATGCCTTCAACTGTAAAATACTGTTTCTTTGTTAAAAGTGTTCAGCTCAGTCAATGCAAGATCAAGTTTAAGAATCAATACACCAAAGAGAAAGCCACGTGTAGCCTCTTGCATTTAATATATTTGAAGAATTAGTTACCTTCATATCTCCAGCTTTCTGTCTCTGTAACATTCTGCCTTTAAATCCCATTTACATTGTATCTAGAATAGCTTATTACAGCCTATTTATATCAATAATTTTAGCTGGATTAAAAGAAAAAAAAAAGTTGCTTTTAGTCCTAATAAACTCATGCACTTCTCCAGTTAAAAACCTTTCTGCTTGCCTTGTTACTTAGCTTTTCCTCTCAAATGTAAGTAATTTACTGGATATACATGCAGTATTTTTTTTTGCTGTAACTTTCCTTTCTAAGTGACTGTCAAGTACAAACAGCTCTCTTTAGCAGAAGCAGTGAGGAGAGCTGCGTTTATCCAACCTTAAGATTGTTCAGTGTTATCCCCAACCCTGGAGAGCTGATGCTGCAGGTTCCACATCGGTGTTACTCATCCATAACTGAAGGTAAGCTGAAGGGATGAACTACAGAAAATGGGAGTCCAGCCTACTAAAGCAGAAAGACAGGACCCAGTTACTCAACTTTTAATCTATGGTCCAGAAAACAATCTGCTAACACCTTCTCTCCCCCTCACAAGGACTGCAGCTCATCCTGAGCTAAAAGCCAAAGCAGAGATACCTACTTCATTCACATAAGAAGGGTTATAATCCTCCAGAAGACCTACAATGTTCAGATATCCCAAATGCCTGCTTGTCCCAGGCTGTCATGAATTTATGCAGTTCCCAAGTCCCCAGGATTGTCAGTGCCTCAGGTGGGACACACAATGCTGCCATGGGATCAGTTCAGCACATCTGTGTAACGTCATCTCACACAGGCAGTCAAGGCATCCCACATCTGCTTTATCCAGGAGGAGCCAGCCATACATATTCCCATCCTAAATTAGAAGTCATCTTGTTCAACACCTCAAGTTGACGGTTCTTTACTCTTTCAATTTCTGCTCTTGAAAGCAAGCAGGCAGATTGTTCATTAGAGCCTCCCAAAGTGGTTTCTGTGCTAAATTCCGTATGTTGTTAAAATTCCACTTGACATAGGAAACTTCAAGGGTACTGTTGTCATGATTGACAGCACTTCTATACTCTTTCTAACTAGTTGTATAAAAGGTTAACTTGTCCCTGTCACAGGGACAGCCTTTATTTCCTGATGTCAGGCCTTTTTATGTTGAGGAGCATTTAAAGGTCAGCTTACACTTCTAAGAACAATTGCTTATACCCCGGGTTACTTTAATTTCTTACATTTCAGATAGGCCTCAACTTCTCACTATTTAGTTAAACTTTTAGCCACAGCACCATCCTGCCACCAAAATCCATAAACAAATCTACACTGAAGTGCTTTTTGAAACTGATTGACAGCTCTTTGATTTGTACAAACTTAATCAAACTAGTACAATATCTCTCCCAGCTGCACATTCACAATGCAGGAATCACGTTAGCAGAGTGCCTTTTGCGTCCTGTAACAGTCTTAATAATGTGAGGATTTCTCCCCATGTTATCTAATGTGGATTCTGAGTTACCAGAAAATCCGTATTAAACAGAAGCATAGAGTATGTCATGCAAATCCCAACATTTTCCTGCTATTCCCAAGGACTCAGTGAGAGGTGCCACTGTATCTTCCCCAGGAACCTGTGGAGACTGATATGAAGTGTATCTGGACAAAAGAAATTCAGGATTTCTACACTGAAAAAAAGAAACAATTAACTGCCCTCTGAGGGTTGCCTTTAACACTAGTTTCTTTTTGTGATGAGGACAGCAACGAAGTACAAGATGCATTTAAAAAGTTTTGTTGAGAAGCTGAGAAAGTCATGGTGTATGTCTGAAAATCAAATTTTATGACTGCTGACATTTTTCACATAAAGTAGTTTAAAATATATTCAAGTATAAAGTAGTTTAATATATATAAAGTATATATACATGTTTTATATATATATATATATAAATACACACATATATGTGAGGCTCAAAAAAACCCCAAAATCTCCCAGTGCTGGAGACCTATGTTGCTCCCTCCTCAAGGAAAATAAATGAAAGCATTCTCCATACTTCTTATTATATTCACAAAAAAAAAATGACATTAGGACCAGAGTTCAGTAAATAAACACAATCTTGCTCAGAAAAAACTTTTAAAGCAGATAGTGGTTTTTATATTTGCACTTTTTCTATTATTGAAGAGGTCCCATGACCCTCCAAGATTGTTGTGTCTTGTCAGCTGAATGCTGTTAACAAATTAAATGCCATTTTAGCCCAAACTTCTTGGAGCTGATGGCTGAACCAGGTGCACTGTTAGAATATTTATACAGGCTCCAAAACGTTGGCACAGATGTTTCAGCTTACACACGTTTAACCTGATGAAAGGACTCAGGTGAAAGCATGTGCAGAAGCAAGGCCTTAGAAGCTAAAAGTGAACCTTGAAACAAAGACAGGAGGTTTGAGGAGAACAGTGCTGTGCCAGCAACACGATGGTGAACCAATAAACAGGAAGATGAAGCACGTTCTATTTTGGTGCATCAGAACACAAGCAAGTCTCATTCTTCATGCAAGCACTACCTGGTACTGTTCTGTTCTTTTTATTAAGAATTAAGGACACAAATTACAGTGCCCAAAAGTCAGGAAGTGCCATTTGTTCCTTGCAACTTCCCCGGTTGCTGAAGAACCACAAGCTGCCGGACACCTGCAGCCAGAGCATGTTAAAAAATAAATGTCTTCCTGCCAGGCCACTGCAAAAGAACAGAATCACGGAATCCCTAGGGTTGGGAGGCACCTCTAGAGATGCTCTAGCCGGGGTAACCCAGAGCAGGTGACACAGGAGCGTGTCCAGATGAGTGTGGAATGTCCCCAGAGAGGGAGACTCCATTCCCTCCCCTGTCAGCTGTTCCAGTGCTCTGCCACCCTCTATGGAAAAAGGTTCTTCATCATGTTGAAATTAAACTTCTTGTGTTTCAGTTTATGGCCATTGCTCCTCGTCCTGTCGCTGGCCATCACTGAAAAGAGCCTGGCGCCATCTTTATGCCACCCCTTTAAAGATATTTATATGGATTATGAGATCCCCTCTCTGTCTTGCACAGCCAGAACCCTGCAGTCTCTCCTTGTAGCATTCCAGACCCCTCATCATCTTTGTTTCCCTGCGCTGGACCCTCTCCAGTAGCTCTTTGTCCTTCTCGTACTGAGGAGCCCAGACGGCGAGGCCCCCCTCACCCACGGCTGGCGAGTTTAGCACCAAGGCTCACACGGGATATTTCCAGAGCCGGCTCCTCACGGAGCTATGCTCACCGCTGCTGGAACACTCCCGTTCCCTCCGTGTGGGGAACAAGGACTCAGGATGGTTCCTAGGGCTGTGTGGGGCTGGGGCGGCCTCTCCCGCTGTGCCCAGGTGCCCTTGATGAGGCGGCCGGGGCCGGGCAGGACAGGACGGGCGGGGCATTAACCGGGCCGGGCCGGGCCGTAGCGGAGCGGGTCGGAGCCAGCATGGACGGGACGGGCGAGGAGCAGCAGTTGGCCGGAGGGCTAGGAATAGGTTGTGGTAAGGATATGGATGAGAGCAGGGGGATGAGTGATGCCGGCTCGCATTAATGGCCGGGGGGAGGCACCCGGCAATGAGCCTAATGAGCAGCGCCGGGGGAGGATAATCGCTCCTCAGCGATGTTATCTGGGCCCTCGTTAGCCTCCCTCAGCCCTGCCGTGTGCTGGCCCCGCGGCTGGCACTGATGGTTTCCCCGGCCCTTGTGTCCCCTGGCTTGTCGAAGCACCTGGCCGAGGGCAGGGGGATTTTTCTTTCCTTTGTGCCACACCGAGGGGCTCCCGCTGCCTCGGGGTTTCTCATTTGCGTCTTTCCTCGCTGTCCAGTTTTCCTCCTCCTCGTGTGGAGAGACCTCTGAAGCCGTTCCTTTTCCCCTGCCCTGTGTGTGTGTTCAGGTGGCTTGGTACAAAATGACCCAAACAACCCTAAAAACCTTGCAGTTTAAGTGATTGGCTTGTTCCGAGGAATGTTTAAGGAGGTGGCTGTGAGATGGAGAAAGGGGCTTGGCTTCCCGCAAGTGCACCAGGTGTTCCAGACTACCTATTCCTGATGTTCCCTCTCGGTTAAAATCCCTTCTACTTAACGTTCTGCTTGTCTAAAAGTAGGACAAAGTGATGTCCACTTTGGTCTCTGAATGATGTGAGAAAGGAGTGGTTTTTTAACTCCCTCTTTGTTAACCAGGAAGGCTCATCTCTCTCTCCAAACTTGCTTTTCTTTTCAACTCTTTTCCTTGGCAGTCCCGAATGGTTGTGAGGTCTTTGCCATCTGTCCTAGAAATAAAACATAGCAGTTTACATTCACTTGGAGGATTATTTCTGTAAAGAATATTAAACTCTCACGTGCCTATTTCTGCTACAAGGTACCCACATAAGACCTGGACACTTATTTTGTGATGTAAATGCATACCGGGATTTGCATAGAAACAAGTAAAAACCCTGCTCAAATCATGTGAAAATACTCTTTTTTTTTTTTTTCCCCCACATAATAAATGAAACAAGCTCAGATGTAACCAGGAGGATGGTGGAAAAAGACCAGAGACATCTTCTGCCTCATTCAGTTCTTGACCCTCCCCGTCAGGATATTTAATCTCATTTAACTGCAGTGGAAACTTGTTGCTGCTTAACAAAATCAAATTATTATAGCTGCATAGTTTCCTGCTTCTGTTTCTTTCCCCTGCAACTAATTTGGTTCTCTTAATCCTGTAAAAAGCAAATTAGATGCTCTTGGAGCAGCCTGCAGTCCCCTCATACTTCTATGAAGTTTCGTCTGCTTGGAATTGTGGGGCTCCTCCTTGATTAACACTTGTTTCAGAAAGAGACTTTGAGGCAGAAACAAATCCTTTATTTTGGCATTGTACTAATATATATCAAAAGCAGAGCACAGTGAAATGAAATTATTTTATCTTTTTCCCCAAAAAATTAAACTAGCAAGTTTCTCTGTTGTCACATGCTATTGAAATGCTGCCAACAGTCTGCTCAAGCTTTCTTCTCTCCAGACAGAGGCAAATACATGGGTTTGGGTTTATTATTCTACTTCCTATCTTATGAAACAATAACTTAAAAAAAAAATTCAAGTAGCAGAAATCACACAGACTCACACATTCTGAGCCACTTGGGAGGTTTTTGGAACTTTTGGAAATGTATGTGCCAGCTGGGAAAGTATAAGGCTTCTGTATTGTTCTGATGCCTATTTCAATTATTTCTCTTGCTGTGTTCTCTCTGATCTGTCTTCTACTATTCAGTCTCTTATTGTAGCACAGTTTGTGGTTTTTGTTGAACTTAGTTAGACTTCTGTACCTAATTTTGTCCTTATCCCCCTATTTCATTCCCTATCTTGTAAGTCTGTTATTCAGAAGTGTGGTTGAAACTACAGAGAAATAATTTAAGGCAGTTATTAGAAGTTTGTACAATTAATGGGGTTTTTTTTGCTTAGCCAGCTTTGGTATGATAGAACTCTGTAAAAGTAAAAAAAGTGATGACATTTGTCAGGTAATCCCTGCTGACACAGTAGACCAGAATTTTGCTTCTGTCTTTCTTTTGCTCATTTTAGTAAGGTGACAGGCTCTTGCCAGGTCATTGATTTTTCTTCTGTTGCTTATTCCAGAGACCTGTGTTATCCCTGGGGCTGTTTTCCCACTACTGTATTTGTAATATGCAAGCTTCCCTTTATTCTCCATGTCTGGAATTACTCTCTTCTGTAGTTTACAGCTTGCTTTTAAAATGAGGTTTTTCTCATCACATGTTTGAATATCTCAATATTGACCATATCAGGTTCTTTGCTGTTGCTTTCCTGGCAACACCTGTCTTTATTTTGAGCTCTCTGGTTCTTGTCACTGTTGCGTTTTGTTGTGTGGACTTTTCCTTCCCCCATATCTGAAGCTCCTGATCCAGGCACATCTAGCTTAGGTAATGGGCCTGTGGGGTGGGGTTTGGGTTTTTTTTCCCCCATTTTTGCCTTGTAGAGTGCCAGGATGAGAAGGAGAACACGCTGCTGAATACAGAGCACTTTGTGGTGGATGCTGATGCTGTTGGTGGCCATGGTGCGGGGAGCAGTGTGCTACCTTCATTCCCAGGCACAGCCACACAAGAAAAAGTTGAAGATAACTTGGGAATAGAAGATAGGAACAGCTCTGTAAAGAAGGTGGAAGAAGATTTGGGATACAACACCCTGCAGGCAGCTGGGTCATCTTCCCAAGGCTCCATGGTCCTCGATGGCCAGCACGAATTTGCCTCAGCACGTGGGCAACCATCGGATTTCTGCGGTGACACAAAGGTTGGATTAGCACAGGAGCCCACAGGTCAGTCAGGGTCACAAGAGCACTCGGAGAGTGACTGCCCTGCTGGGACTGAAAAGGAGGCAAAGAAGGAACAAACTAAGAAAGCATCCATTGGAGTGGCTGGAGCTCCCTGCAGGCAGGAGGAGATGGGCCCAGCCCCTCAGCGATCCAGAGGTGCTCCAGCCAGCAATGCAGCTCAGAATTCCTACAAGGGCTCTTCAGTCCTGGAGTCCAGAGGCAGCTGTGATGTGGCCAAGGGAAAAACATCCTTACCTGTCAAGAAGAAGCAGCGCACCTTCTACAGTGCAGGTAGATCCCAGGGCACACACAGGCACACGGTGACACTTGTGGTGCCAGTGGAGCTTGGTGTTCCCTTCCCTGTTCTGCTCTGATATTGCACTGCACTCCACACCATTACATGTGTGAAGACTTCCATTAATAAAGGTAGCTGAGTGTCTTTCGTTTGAAGCATTGCTAGCAATGCTCTTTGCTTTTGAAACAGCAAAAGAAGATTTTTGTTTATTTTTGTAGTTTATTTTTAAAAAATCCATTATATTACTTGTGTATTTCTAAGGATAGTAAAAATACTATCTTTTTTTTTCTGTTTCCCTCTCTTGTTAATTTTTTTTCTTGTTTTCTTGTCACATGCATCCCATCTCTCTCTCTCTTTGGACAATGCATCATTTCTAGAGCAGCTAGAAGAGCTGGAGAAGATGTTCCAGGAAGACCACTACCCTGACAGTGAGAAGAGGAGGGAGATTGCAGCTGTGGTTGGTGTGACACCACAGCGTATCCTGGTAATGCCTGCTGTGTTCTATGCCTGTGGATTCTGTGCAGAACAGGGATGGGCAGGGACGGGGACATTGCCAGCGTTCCCATTTGTAGATGGTTTCTTCCCTGACTGCATTCCTTTCTTCCCATTTTTCAGGTCTGGTTTCAGAATCGCAGGGCAAAGTGGCGGAAATTGCAGAAGTTGAGTATAAAGGGCAACGAAAAATACCCAGCATCAGCTCTGTCATTCCCTTATGGAACAGAGGGCTATGGGTGAGGAACTTTCTCTGTTTTGACATTTCTCCACAACTGATACCTAAGAAATTAAGTATTTTCTTTTGCCATTTCCCCTTTACATTTAAACAGTGAAGAGTTGGCCTGAGTTGGATCTAGGTAGCCTGTCAGATTTCTGGGCAAATTGTGGTGGATCCTCTTAGAAGTCCTTTTGATTAACCTGTAGCAAATCAATCAAATTAATTATGAAATGAAACTGTTGAAATTTCCCTGGCTGAAATCATGTAGAGAGCAAGGGATGAGATGGAAAAGTTTATGAAATCACCTCTTCATTTTTAGTTTGTGTGAATGCATTGGCCAGGTGCTTTGGGTGTGCTTGGGGATTCTTTTAACCCAGTTCTCCCACCACTGCTTTCCATTTCTACCGATTTTCACTTGGTGATGGAAATGCTGCTTGCTTAGATCAGTCTTAGAAAGTCATGGACTTCTTTGGAGAAATACAAGGTAGCATCTTTCATATGTGAGCAGAAGACATTTATAGAGGGGAAAAAGGAATATGTGAGAGGATAGATGGTCTTTCAAGGGATGGGGAATGTGTGAGGGGAGAAATCAATCTCCATAGGGATGTATTTATGGCAATCTGGAGTGTCTTCTTATGAAGAAAACAATGAAAAGAAGAAAAATTAAAGTGAAAAATTGTAGAGCACCTTACTTCATTGCATTGTTCCTGCTGCCTGTCCTATACAAGTGACCTGTAGCTGCTTCCCCAAAGACTTCTGATACTGCATTTCTTACCCTTGTAGTCAGCCAGTGCTTTCCCTTTGCACCTGCTGGTGATGTAGAATCTGCCTCTTGTCAGATAGAAGAGTGCATGATTGGTCATAATGCCCTGCCTGTCCTCTGTGTCTGCTGCAGGGCACCTCCTCTGCCTGTGCCTCCATTGCCTGATGCTGCTGGAGACCAGCCTGCCCTGCTGGAAGGAGACCCTGGAGCTGGGAACTCCTCCAGCCTGCTCAGCACACACCCTGGATCCCCCACCTCTGCCTCAGGTGAGACCATGACCAGCACGAGTGTTTTGCACAGCTGCAGCATTAGCTGGTGGAGCTGGGAGGTTCCCAAATGCTTTAGGAAAAGCCCTGTCAGAGCCTTACGCCATCGGTGCAAAAAGTGACACCAGGTCACTCCACAGGCTGAGAAAGTTGGGGCAGTTCTGCCTGAAGGAGAAAAGGTTTTGTGGAGACCTCAGAGGAGCCTTCTGGCATCTGAAGGGGCCTACACGGAAGCTGTAGAGGGACTTTTCATCAGGAACTGTAGTGGTGGGATAAGAGGGAATGGCTTCAAACTCAAAGAGGGGAAATTTAGGTTAGATACTTAGAAGAAATTCTTTCCTATAAGGGTGGTGAGGCACTGGCACAGAGAAGCTGTGGCTGCCCCATCCCTGGCAGTGTCCAAGGCCAGGTTGGATGGGGCTCTGAGCAGCCTGGGATAGTGGAAGGCATCCCTGCCCATGGTAGGGGGGTGGAATGAGGTGGTCCTTAAGGTCTCTTCCAGTGATTCTGTGATTGTAGGTATAGCAGCTCACTGCTGATTGAGGTTCTACCAGTTATGTACCAGCACCATGGTGCCTCTGTGCTAATTCTGGAGACAGATTTGCAGTCCTTGTTTCTGTCTTAGCACAAGCCAGCAAGGAGTTCTTGGTTCTGATGTTCTCCGTGGCAGATACACACTCCCCATATTCTGGTTTAGCTGGAAACGTTTGGCTACAGCCTGAGCCAAGTGAGCTGCATAAGGAAGGTTCACTCTTGTGAACTGCTGGTGTTGTAGAGACTCCATCAGGTATTCCACACCTTAAAACATCCAAAGGGGCTTCCTTGGCTTCTCCAGGCTGGGCAGGTTTCCATTTTGTGCAAGATCTTGAGGGAGTGAGAGTAGCTGAGTTCCAAAGCTGAGGGCTGATTTTTAATCGCTGTTGCAGTGGACTTTTAAGTCAGTGGGGTGTGCTGTTCAACCAGTTTTCTACCTGAGCTGTGTTGAAAGATTGATGGCAATGAGAGAGAGAGGATTTGTCTAATTGTTGATTGATGTGTGCAGTCCAAGAGTATTCCCTAGAGTCAGGGGTGCTCCCTAAAAAGCATTTCCTAAATACGTTTGTTTTTCCAAGCTGGCACAATATGAAAAGATTTCCTAAGTGATGAGGACTCCACTACTTCCTTAGCGACGGATATCCCAAGCAGTAGATGTGCTGCCATGTGGTACTGCTGTGTGTGTTTTGTTGCTTCCCAGTATAATGAATTCTTTGGAATTTCATGCCATTATATCTGTCTCCTCGTTGTATTCTAAATATATCAGTATTTAGTTAACAGTATTAAGGGCAGTTCCTGAAACTAATTTTCTAAGAATTACTCAATGTTTTAGTAATGGTTTTACTTTAAAGGTATTTTGGTACAGTGGAAAGCAACTGAAAGATTGCATCAACAAGCTTAGAATGCTTCATGTGTTGCTAAGAGTATGTAATTGAGATACTTTCTTTATAACCTAATCTAGTACTTCTGTAATTTAAATTTGCCTGTCATCCTCTCAAGGCAAGGGTTTCTTTAGTCAATCCAATGACCTTTTTAAGCAATAGGACTGTAATTCAGTTAGTTCCAGTTTTTCCACTTCTTGCAACAGAGTAAATATGGTCAAAGTGTTTGAGTAATTCACTGCTCTCAGAGTGACGAAGTGGTGAAGTCTGTTGAGCCCTGTATTGGATAGAAACCAAGAATTTGTTTAAAGGAAACAAACCAAATATCCTCTGATTTCTATGCTTTAGGAACCTCTCCTGGTTCCGAAAGTAGCTCTGCAGACACACTATTTAGTCAGGAGAGAATATCAGGGAATCACAGAATGGTTTGTGTTGGGAGGGACCTTAAAGATCTTCTTCTTCCACCCCCCCGCCATGAGCAGGGACACCTTTCACTATCCCAGGTTGCTCAGAGCCCCAGCCTGGTCTGGAACACTTCCAGGGATGGGGCAGCCACAGCTTCTTTGGGCAACCTGTGCCACGGCCTCACAGGAAAGAAGTTCCTTCTAATACCCAGTCTAAACCTGCTCTCTGTCAGCATGAAGCCATTTGCCCTGTTAGATGTCTGTCAGAGAAATGAATTTTCATTCAGGGACATGATCTTGTGCTCTGCTTGCATTGAGCCATTTCTTTCTGGGGGATCTGCATACTGGGATGCAGCTCTCCACGTGGAAAACGCAAGCAAATCTTTCTGATAGGAAAGAAAGGTCCCATCTGAATTCTTGGTGCAATGTGTAAGGAAGAAAAAAGGGCAAATGTCCTCTGTGAGGGAAAAGACTGATACTACATGGAGAGAGTCCTTGTAGAAGAGAAATCTGCATGGCACAATCACCTGGAAAGCTCCAGTTCCAATTTTGCCTTGCTAGGTGCAGGAAAACACAGCTATGGGGAACGAAACTCACTTTTTTGTTGTTGTTGTTTACCATTGCAAATTCAGACTTCTTCTCTTTAAGAATGAAAGCAAAAAATGAAAGAGAAGGAAAATGAAAGCAATCTTTCATTTGAATCTGTTCAACTCCTTGTTCAGAAAAAAAAGCTTGCCTAGAAATAGAGCCACCCATGTTTTCTCTATTAGGATATCTCAGAAAATGAAGGAAACAAAACCTGGATAGGATAAAATCCAAATTAACAGGAGCAAAACAGAAGAGGAAACAGATGAATATAAAAAGTTTTCAATTTACAAGGCAAAACCAATTGCTTAGTAGTGTCCCTTGTGGAAACAGCTCATGGATGGTGTCAGCAAAAGCCTTTGTGATCTGTGCATCGTGATGCATTTGGGCCCACAGTGTGACCTGCTGGAATGGCTATTCAGGTGCTTTTCTTTTTAACCACTTTCAGCAGGACAAGAAAATTATTTAAGTGCATGAGACCTTTGCAGAGTGTTCAGTGCTGCAATTTTCATTGTTTTTCCTTGCTGTACCCAGTACTGTCTGTTGGTTTGTGGGTTTGCTGGGTTTTTTGATGTTTCCACCAGTTCTCCAAACAAGCTGATTAAAAATGTCAGTGAGTTGTATTTGAGATGTCTGCTGGCAGTTATGGCTTCTGATTTGGATATAGTAGCCACACTACTTTGCCTTTTTAGAGCCTTTTGTGCCTCAAAACCTTCAAATTTGGGCTTGCTTTGATCTTAGAAATGTTTTGTTGTTGTTTTTACTTTGCTAGACAGCATGATTGAAATTAATAGGTTTTTTCGTTTTGTTTTTTTTTTACACTGGCAGTTATTTGAAGCTTTTCTTGGCCTTCTGAGATTTCTTACAGATACATGTATATCTGTGATTCATTGGCTTATGTTTTCTTTGGAGTTCCTTTTTGTGCCTCTGGTTTGTGGGAAGAGATTTCTCTGCCCCACTGGTGCTTCTGCAGGAAATCCTTTTTTCAGATATCTGCCTTGCTGAGGACACCTGTCAGGAGCCCAACCTGGTAACTCTTAAGCAAAGGTGATTAAAATCACTGGCAGAGATGGGATTGTAATGGAAATCTAGGGAGCAATTGGATGAATCTGGATATGGTCTGTCAAAGAACAATAAATAAATGACAAGCTCCAATGACTTCACTTATAGAACTCTGGCTTCCAAACAAATTTGGAACAAATTCCTTTTCTCACAATTTCAAGATGAGGATGAATCTATCAAAAGCTTTGTTATGGTCCTTGATGTTCCAGTAAAGACTGGAAACAGAATAACCATTCTGGAGTTAACTCAAGTGTAGTGCCAGGACTGGTTCAGAGATCTGAAGCTGTAAATTATTAAATTGCTCTCCAAAAATTCCCAAGATTGTCTCATGGACTGAGAAGCCAGAAGTAATGGAAGCAAGAAATAAAAATCCTGCTGTTACATTCCTGTGTTCACTGGAAAGCCTTTTGAGGTTCTCTCTCTCTCTACATCAGTGTCAGGAAAAGCCACAGAATTGTACAATATAAGTATTATCTCAAGGCAGGGGTCAAAATTCTTCATAGAGCAACTCTGCAATCTTCTGTAGATATGTCAGATTCAGCAGATATGACTTCTCTGGGAATTGTTTATTCTTACTGCATTTGTGACTTTATTTAGAAGACACATTTTCAGTGTATCTTTGAAAGGACAGAGAAGCAGAACTGACTTTAGAAAAGGCTGAACCAGCTCTTTGGAGATTGAGGGTGCTGTCTCACACTCTCATTGCCTGGGGGTCTTACTGCTATGATCCACAAAGATTATTTGCACTGAGCATTTAAAATATTAAAAAAAAAAATTCTTAGTAGGTATGAAAGTGGGTTTAGAAGTGATTTCCTGGGCTGCTTGTGTTCATCCTGAGGAAGAGCAGGGCCATCTGCAGAACAGCTCTCATTACTGAACTGGAGTTTTACCTGGATATAGATTGCTTTTCAGGTAAGTTGTGCCCTCCCCATGGCTGCTGTTCCATAATGTTTGTGTGAACATTCTGGGGCACAATGGTCAGGAGAACTAGTGCTAAAGAAGGATTTAAAAAAATCAGAAGAAATCTTCAGTTTCATTTCTGGCTAAGCCAAAACGCAGGAATGTGACAGGTACATCTGAGTTGCAGCCTGGCATGGATAAATAGTGTGTTCAAACAGAAAAAATAAACCACTGAGAACTGCCTGGGCATGTGAATGCTTTAGAGACACCATCCTAGATCTTGCTTCAGTTTTCTGACTGAGCCCAAAATCAGGGCTATTGAAAACCTGAAAAGCTTTCATTGAAATACTGTGATTCCTTCTCTCCATGGCTGCAGAAAGTTAGAAAGAGCAGAATGTGGGAAGATGAGGCACAAAACTGCCCAGCACAGTGGGGAATCTGAGAAACAGTGCTGCAAGATGTTGAAGTAAAAACCCTCATCAGCTCTCAGGATATGCATTCCAAAATTCTCTAAAGGCTGCTAATACTTGTTGTGGCATCTTTATGTTTAGGTTTGTGTTTAAGGCCTTTGAGTTACACCTGGTGGAGTGCATTTGATGTTATTCTCTATGCCTGCAAGGGTGAAGTGCAGCTGCGGACTTCCCCTGTGTGGGAGAGCTTCACCTGAGGAGCTGGTGATATTTTCTCTTCTCTTCCTCATCCTTGTGCTGGTTCAGCCTGGCTAGACTGGAGAAATCACTGCATCTTCCTGCACATGTGATGGCTACATTTGTGAAGAGAGAAACCATTTGCTAATTGCCACAGTAAGAGAGAAGCTTATTTTCTTGCACCATGCCCAAGCTTCTTGAGCTTCATGTATAGTTGTCACTTGGGATCACAAGCATATCTGATTCTGACCTTTAATTTCCTCTATTGTCCTCTTTCTACAGAGGCTGTTCTGTAGGAAACTGTTCCTCTCTCCTTTTCCAGCAGTGACTGAGGAGACAGGTCACCAAACAAGATTCTAGCAACCAAAAGATGTTGGTTTCCTTTTCTGTCTCCCATCTTCTTTTTCCCAAGGACCTTCAGCTGCCATTTCTACTTTTTTGATTTTTGTTTTTGGCATGACTCATCAGAGGCCAAACCAGGAGAGAAAATCTGTTTCAAAACAGCCAAGACTGTGGATTTGTAAAGGCACAGTTTTGTTTCTTTCAAAGCATATTCATTTTTTCAAAAGGGTGATCTGTGCAGCTTTCTACTGATCCCAGAGGACAGTAGAAATGGAAGATGACTGGGGGATTGTTCCTGACTCTTTTCCAAGAAGTACTTTGCTTCATTTGGCTGCCTTCTTGAGAGCTGGATAAAGATAGTATGCAGAGACTGAAATCACAAAGGTAATTTTATTTAACCAGTAAGCATCATCCTGTGTTCCAGAGAGCTTGCTGCTACTCCCTTTTGCTTCTCAACAGCAGTGCTGGTACTCATTTGCTTTTAATCTCATCATTTAACGTCCACTCTTTCGCTGGCATCTTGCTTTTCTTGCTCCTCTTTTCATTCCCTCTGGTTGCTCCTGCACATTCCCAGTGCGACAAGCACAGTGTGACAGTCTCTGTTTCATTCACAGCCTCCTCGGTGGCAGGAATGGTGGCACCCTGTGAAGCACAAGCTCAGAGCAAGGCGCTGCCGCAGCTGCACTTCAATTCCAGCGGCGTGGAGTGCCTCCCTAGTTTCTCCAGCCCTCCTCCCATCCGCAGGGCCAGCCTGCCGCTCAGCCTGGCCTTCAACCCGCACGGCCACAATGTTCCCCTGATGCTGGACCCGCCCAGCAGCCAATGCAGCTTGGCCAGTCAGGAAAATGGCTCCAGGGAAGCCTTCTCTTACGGCGTCCAGAACCAAGGGTAGGAGCAGATGAGAGTGTCTTTGAGGGAGGTGAAAAAGCGACCCCGGGTAGAAGCCCTGGGAGGGTGAATGTGGGACAGGGGATGAGGAATTAGGTGGGAGGATTAATGAAAAGTGAGATGCAGATGTGACAATATCCTTTAAAGGATGTGTGAAAAACTGTATAATGTGTATAATAGGACAGGGTGCCTGCTATGAGACAGGTGCTACCTGTACTCAGAGTGCTCTCAGGATTGTATTCCTGTCAAGTGAAAGTGAGGCTGTTCCAAGTTTTGGGGTGGGCTTTGGAGAGTGGGAAAATAATCCCCACTAATACTAATTGCAAAAGAATCTTGCTGTAAAAGCTCTTCTTCGCTCAAGTGGCTTTTGTTGCCTTTGTCCTGTGCCTGGCATTTGAGAGGAAGGCTTGGCAATAAAACAGTTGTTAATTGGACAGGTTGGTGTAGCTGCTGACTGTCCTTTAATCTTTGGATTGCCTCTCTCCTTGCTCTCTGCAGCTTCAGTTCACCCGTTTCCTGTCCTTACCCCGAGCAGCTGGAGCCTACAGACAACCTGGAGGCCACCTACTGTCAGTACAGCATCCAGGGGGGAATCTGTCAGCTTTCCCAGTTCTGTCACCAAGGTCACCTGGCCAGCAATATGTTCTCCAGTGACCACCTTCCTCCTCCAACACCCCTGGAGTCCCATCCACCTTTCCCAGACTTACCTGACAACAGTGGAGCCATATCCTATGGAGCCACACAAGACTATGTACAAAACCACACGGGGGGACCACTAATGGCGCAGCAGCCAAATGGCAATTCAGGTAAATTTCTGAAATATTTTGGCATCCTGCTCCTCTGCAGTAACTAAATAATACCCTGAAACATTCGACATGATCAGTGGGTTCACTGATGGCTGTGACACAAAGAAGGAACATCCACGTACCTACACAAATCTATAGATGTCCCCATCTTTTTTTTTTTCACTTAATTTGCGTGTATGCTTGGTTTTTTCAAAAGTACTGAGTGACCCATTCATTTGAATCAAAAGTTACTACCCAAACTGCTGCACACATCAGGAAGAGGATTAAATGTGTCAGATAGTGCAGAGGTTTTGTCTGGACTGGAGAAGTAACTTTCCTTTTCCAAGAGTGTCTTGTTGTGTACACAATCAGCCCTTTGTTGCATGTGGTGGGAGTCAAGGGTGCAAAGTGGAAAAGGTGCCACAGCAGATGCGATAGTTGGAGATAATGAGGAAAAACAGCCTTCTCGCTGTTTGGCTTCTGCAGAAACCAGCTTGAAATCATGTTACTTATCATAGGGTACTGCAAGAGAAGAGAGACAGGAACCAACAGAGTATGAACATAGATTCTTCCTCTGACTTGAATTTGCAACAGCACTGAGATGAAGGCACACTAGCATAATTTTCTGAAAAAAAAAAAACAAAACAAAAGCAAACAGACAGAAAACCTAGGTAAAAATGACATTGTTGATCTCCTTGTTTTGAGTCTGGGCTTTGTATTTTGAAGTTATTCAAGCCCAAGTATAGTCAAATGACAAATTGTTGTATTTAATTAATTTGGACTGACAGGTTTGTTAAATTAAGGTCACACTCCAAAAGCTCCATCCCTTGTCTTAGGACATGAGAGAACAAAGAGGTTTAGCCCACAGATGCTACTGCTGGTTTTGTACCAGTTCTGTGGACCTTGTCAGGGAGGGAAGTCTCAGTCTGACTCACATCAGGCTGCAAGCTGGCTTCTGTCCCCACTCCTCACAGCTGACATTGTGCAGGACAGGTTGGCAGCACCCATGCTATCAAACGCACTTGGCCCTGGCTCCCTGCTCTAGTTCCAAGGCATAATTATTCTTTTCTGTGGTTTTTCAGTCTGAAGTGCCAGAAATAATGAGAGGGCTGTGTCCCAGACTGCATCAGATGAGATGTTTTTTCTAGCTTGATGCACAAGTGTGTATTGCATTCCTTGGGGCATGTTGTATGGGCATCAAGGGGTGTATAAAGGTGCAAGCTGGTGAAGTTGGAAGGTTGTTGAAGGAACAGAGGCAGAGTTGATATTCTCTTACTCCATACTTCTGTCCAGAGCACAATCAAAAGTAAATGGCTTTTCTGTTGTGCAGTGAGGATGACCAAATTCACAGAATCATAGAATCTTGGAATGGCTTGGTTTGGAAGGGACCTTAATTCTCATCCAGTTCCAGCCCTCTGCTATGGACAGGGACACCTTCCATTAGACCAGGTTCCTCAGAGCCCCATTAAACCTGGTCTTGAACACTTCCAGAGATGGGGCAGCCACAACTCCTCTGAATTCCAATACCTTACCACCCTCACAAGGGAGGCATTTCTTCCTGAAAAGGTTCCAGGTTTCCTAAAGTGCAGGGCTGGAAACCAGTCTGTCAGTGCAGACACACCGAGTCTTAACATCAGCACATAAACAAGTGAGCAGCCTAGTTGACTTACCAATATTAATTAACAAAACATTTCTACTTCCTGGTTTGCAGCTTTTATAAATGAAAAAAGTGAAAGTGAAGATTAAGCATCCATCTTATGCCTGGCAGAGCTAACTTGGAAAATGGGAATAGAAAAAAATACTGGAGGGGGGAAAATGATAATCTCTACTATCATTGCATACGCTCAGGATCAGTGCTGAGTGGCATGGATTTTTTTTAGATTATAAAAATGCTATGAGCTTCCTAAGCTTTTCTTCCTAAGAACCGTGCTTTGGTTAAATACATTGGAAGTACAATGTAAAGAGCAAAGTGATCCTTGATGTGTGTGTGGTGTCTGCTGCAGTGCTGTGTTTGCACTGAGCAAAGCACAACACACACTTCTTGTATGTAGACGTGTTTCCATTATTTTCATTATTCTTCTTTTCTTGGTGGCTTTTCCCTCAGCAGACATCCCTGCCTATCCAGCTGTCCCCTGGAATGATTTCTATGTGCAGGGAGCTCCTTTCTCCAATCAGTTGCATTCCGAAATGCCTTATTCTAGCATGGCAGGAGGACAGTACTTCACAGAGCCATATCTCCTTCAAGTGTCCAATGGAACAGAACTGGAATCCATGCCACAGACGGGAAAACAAAAGGGAGTGACACTACCAGAGATAAGTTCCTACCAGAGCTACCAAACAGAGCCAGAGTTGGCAGCACCCACTGAAAAAAAGGATGTAGAGAACAGCAGCAAGAAAGGAGAAACTGTTGTTGGTAACCAGCTGATTGTTTTCTTGCAGAAGGAGGGGGGAAAGAAAAGAGTTCTAAGACAGCAGTAGCTCTCCTGAATGCAGGATGGAAAGCGTGGCATTATTTTTTTGTGAGCTGCTGCCTGTGGCAGGTCCCATCATCCTATACCTATCCTATACCTAGTTCTTAGATCCGTCTGTTTTTGGGAATGGGGACAGAAAAGTCAGTAAAATAGATGGCAAAGTTCTGTGTTTCCTCAGACATCATCTGTTGTGAGCTGTATGGCTACACAGAACTGATTATTTCTAAGATTTCCAGAGGCATAGACACCTCTCTTCAGGGCTGAACTTCACCAAGAAGGGAGAAGGGGAGGGGAGAGTTTTCTGTTTGGAGTCTAAGGCTTTTATCTTGGAAACAGAATTACCTTACTCTAGAATTGTTGAAAGGTGTCATATGCCATAAATATTCTTTGGAAGGGTGTCTGTGTGAGGGATGTGTATCTAATTTTGAGATATAAAACATTTGAAAAATTCAGTGTATTTTGTGTCACATTTCCTTATGAATCTGTTTGGGTTTTTGTGCAGAAACTAAAGAAGAAACCAATGACTGATGCTGCAATCTGAGAAAAAAAAGGAAGAGGAAAAATGCTGCAATCTGAGGGAAAAAAAAAGGAAGAGGAAGAATTGCTGTTTTAAACTCTGCAAAATAAGAAGAGTCAAAAAAAGATAAGAATGATATTATTTGCAGCAGATGCACTTTTTTTTTTT